AAGAAGAAGAAAGATCCTCAAACAGTAACAAAAGGACAAACAACAAAAACAGAAAACTAGAAGCTTTGCTAAGGAACCAAAGATAAACTCATAAGCCTGAAAGTAAACAACTACCACTTAATGCTAGACTGTGGATTAAACACCCTTAAACTTGTGTGATGCTTAATCTGTAGCATTTAGAACCTTGACACTCTTCCAGTATGCTGTGACAGTGAAATTCTCCTTGGGGACTCCAAGTTTAAGGTCTTGCTTGTCCTTACACTAACAACCATGTGCTCAATACCGTCTGGGCTTTACAGTTACTGCCTCATTCCTTCCCTCAGTGTTAGATTTAAGAATCTCCTTGGTGATAGGCACTAAACAAAAAGAAAGGCATAGTTTCCTACCTTCAAGAAGAGTATGCTATAAAAGGAGGAAGAAAGGGGGAAGAAAAAGAAACAAGTAAATCACTCTATAGCAAGTATTTTTTTAACAGTAGACACCAAGTGCTGTGCTCTGGTAACTGGCAGAGAGCAGGGTAGCACGGAAACTGACATTTTTAGTCTGGTGAGCAGTAAAGAAGATGCTGGCTAGAAAAGCAGACAACATGACACTGAATGTCTTCTCTAGCCCGCCTCTAACTCTGTTGTTGGTGTTAGGAACCTGACACACAATTCTATCTAGTGGTAAGAAGAAAAATACTGCTGAAGACCCACTACCACCACCCACAAGTTAGAAGAGAGTACTTGTTAGTTTACTACACAAAATGTTTTTGGACAGAAACTAGTTTATCTTTGTATTTGTAAACATGATTTGCTAATGTTCTTTACCTTTATGATTATGTACTGCCGGAATGTTTTTTTTTTAATATTTATTTATTTATTATGTATACAATATTCTGTCTGTGTGTATGCCTGCAGGCCAGAAGAGGGCACCAGACCCCATTACAGATGGTTGTGAGCCACCATGTGGTTGCTGGGAATTGAACTCAGGACCTTTGGAAGAGCAGGCAATGCTCTTAACCACTGAGCCATCTCTCCAGCCCCTGCCGGAATGTTTTAAACTCAAACACACACACACACACACACACACACACACACACACTTAAAGGAACTAAGCTATAAAGACTTTTTTTAAAACCCCAATGAGTTTATTTTAATTAAAAATGCAAAGGCCAGCAAGATGGCTAAGTGGATAAAGGCCCTTGCCCCAATCCTGATGACCTGAGTTAGACCCTTGGAGCCCACACGGTGGGAAAGAGAAGCTATCCTTCCACATGTGTCACCACCACCACCAGATCCATGTGACAAGGGCATGACAAAACAGGTGCGGGTAGTGACTACAAGATGGCGTTAAATGCTGGAAAGCAAACAAATACTGGACTAGACCTTAGACCTGGTCTGAAAGTAAAAAGGTAGATTTGATTTCCAGCAGCAAAAGAAGAAAGCTCTTTCAGCTTTGCAAATAGCTTATGCCTGTGGTCACAGCACTCTAGAGGCTGAGATAGGGCTGTTTCCAGACCAGTCTTACACAGCAACTCCTTTTCCCAAAACAACAACAAAACAAGTCCAAAGCAGATTAGAGGTGTATTTGCCATTCTTGATCATCATTCAATAAGAAACTTCAAACTTCCCCCAAATGAGCTGTTCTTCTGCGAGTTTTGTACTCTACTTATAATTCTCTTAGGCTTTTTATTTCCACAGTAAGTAAATTATGTAGCATTTTCCCCCTTTAGAAAAATATATGAATGTTTTGTCTGTGGGTGTCTGTGCACCACGTACATGCCAGATACCCCTGGAAAGCACTGGATCCCCTGAACAGTTGTGAGCTAGGTGGGTACTAGGTTTCAAACTGGTGTCCTCTGCAGGAGCAGTCAGTGCTCCGAGCTGCAGCGTGTTTTATTCACTTACAAATCACAAGTACGAGAACCTGGCTGGTAAAACAGAAATCAGAGTCAACTTTATTCTTCATTCTTTGATCCTTTGGAGATTTTAAGATTTCCATCATCAGGGGTTGGAGAGATGGCTCAGAGGTTAAAAAGCACTGGCTGCTCTTCTAGAGGACACTGGTTCAATTCCTAGCACCACACAGCAGCTCACAATTGTCTGTAACTCTAGTTCCCAGAGGATCTAACACAGACATACACACAAGCAAAACACCAATGCACATAAAAAATAATAAATCATCAAAAAATAATTTAAAAATTATTTCCAGCCGGGTGGTAGTGATGCATGCCAACACTCGGGAGACAGAGGCAGGTGGATCTCTGTGAGTTCAAGGCTAGCCTGGTCTACAGAGCGAGGTCCAGGACAGCCAGAGCTGGTACACAGAGAAACTGTGTTATATATGGTAAGCAAACTTTCTATATAAGATGTCACCGTAAATTCTCACCAATCTAATCCTCCCTGTTCCACTTGATAGAGCAGATTCCATTAATGGGGGTTGGAGGAGGAGAGGCACCAAAATAGGAGTGCTTTTCAGAGTAATTAAGATTCCAAAGGGGGCTTTAAGTTAATCAGGAGGGAAACCATCACTAAGAGGGCCTGACATAATTAGAGGAAGCTCTCCTGTCAGCACTCAGAGGATGAGAGAGAAGAGAGCCGCAGAGCAGGGAACTGAGGACAGCAGGCTTAGGGGCTGGAGAAGTTACCAACTGACAACGAGTAAATGGGAAACACCACATTCTATCAACCAATGATTTCAAACTAAAGAATTTGAACTCCAGCCAGGGAAGATAAGAAGACCCAGTAGCTAACTAACACCAGGGCGTCTCACGCAAGGTTTTGTCTGGTTAGTTGATTTTTAAAGCCCTATCTTGTAGTCTGACTTTAAAAACAACATTGTGGTGGTGGCTCACACCTTTAATCACAGCACTTGGGAGGCAAAGGCAGGCAGATCTCTGAGTTCAAGGCCAGCCTAGTCTATAAAGTTGAGTTCTAGGGAAACCCTGTCTTGGAAAACAAAACAATCAATCAATATAAAAATTAACTTGTTACTTTATAAAAACTGTTCAAGTCATAATTTCACTGCTTTTTCCTTGGATAACCTTAAGGTTGTACCATAGTCCTAAATGGATACAATTCTGTCTGTGTCTGGTCTGCAACTGTTGAGCATTATTGACATGTGGTAACAATGTTCAGGATGCATCTGCACAGGACCCTGTGCAGGAGAGGGGAGAACATCTGCAACCTCAAACCTTCTTGTTTTTTCAATGTTTGTTTACACATAACTAACTCCATGACTAACAGAACATCTGGGAAGGAAGACCAATTTTACATGGTAAGCATCAATGCACTAGAAGTTTATGATAGTTTCTGGTTAATGGGGCCCTTCTATTTGATAGTTATTACATCAATAACCAACAATTTAATTTTTGTCTTGGAGATTTAACACACTGAACAGACACCATTTCTTCTAAAATTGTTTCTAATGGTAGCTTTCATTAGTTTTGTTTTGCTTTTCATAAAATGAATAGAGATTCAACAGTCTTTTGGGCTGACTTTTTTTTTTTAAACCACCTGAGTTTAGTTCCTAGGATCCATATATGCATCCTATTATAGGTGAGACATACATGTTAAATGAATGCAATTTTTAAAAACTTTACGATATTTTTGTACTTTTTTGTATTTTGTAATTTCTTTCCTGAATCACTTGTTATTCCTTGGATTTTCTGAAATCCTTTCAATTAAACTTCAGCATATTCATTGATGTATATATTAATTGCATAAATAAACAAATGCAATAAATTATGGAATAAAAGGCCAAAACCAAGAAATACTGAAACTAAAATATGTGCTTTGAAGCAAGGGGGGGTTAAATTATAGAAATATAAAGTGTTACATCACATGATGGCATATAACTAATTGCAGAGCTCTGGGGGATCAGAAGTGCAAACCACCCCAGCTACACAGTAAATGAGGCCAGTCTGATCTGTAGGAGACCTTGTCTCAATTTACAAGTTGAATTAAAACAAAACAAAAATTATGGGTAAATATGTGGAACATCATAAATCTGAAATAAATTTTAAGAAAACATATGTTGTGTTTAGCACTGTGTCACTATTACCTAGAAGTGTGTGTCACAGAATATGACTGAGAGAATAATCTCCCAAACTAATCAAATTACCTTCTCTGAATTGTCACAAGTTTGGTATGAATTTGTTTAGAATGAAATAGGCT